CTGTTACAAAGGTTTCCTTGCAAAAAGTCTCGACTGGCTCTCTGTAAAATCTGTCCTGATGCTCTCATCCTGCCCTGCACCTTCTGTTCTAGCCTGCTAGTCAGGCGTTAGCATCCCTTCCTGCTTTCAGTACTTTATTCAAATGGATCCTCCCCCCGCCACCCAAATCACCCTTTACCATACATGCACAGATCTGGAGTGGTCTGTCTCTTTAATCCTTTAAAATTCAGATCCAAAATGTACCTCCTACCAAAAACAGACTGTTCCACTGTGTCCCATATGTGTCTATTAATATGCCTGATATATCTCTTATGTATTCTCAGTCTTAATAGTAGTATGGTTTCCCCCACTAAACTGTGATCACCCTCTGGGTATGTCAGCTGAAATCACTGACTACGTAATGGTGCTGTTAGAAATGCTTGCCATTTGTGGACAAAATGTGATGAGGATTTTTAATGAAGTCAGATATGATACTGAATGATGGCAGCAAATCTTACCATAAATGCAATGGGTTTACCATGGATTAAACACATAAGCCCATTGAAGAGTCATCTGAGATGACGCTCTGAGGTTCAGAAAACCTGACCACTGGTTCTCTGTGGCATGTACCAGTATTTAGAAGCCAGGATCACCAGCATCACCTCTGACAAGTAGGCAGCCAAAGCACACAGAAAGGCACAATGCAGGACAAGGAATTGTTGTAATTTTCATTATTAGTATAGTGCATAATTATTGGCTCCTTAAGTTGCTAGTTCTCTTAAATACTGCCCTTTCTCCCCCTCCCCTACCCCTCAGAGTCAGGTTGAAATGTGTGTGTTGTGTTAGCCGAAGTATCTTAGGAGAAGATACAGAGAAAGGACAAGGGCTCTTTAAAAGAAGATCCCTTCCCCCTGTACCAGCCACCAAAGCCATCTAGGGATGGACTTAAAAAAGTAAGACATCTGCATCATAAGTCTTCCCAGAGCTGAAGCAGAAGTGTCTCCCCTCACTTAACCTTGGCAGTCACAGCCAGCTTTTAATTTCCTCCACTGCAGTCAGGAAGGCAGGAGCAATCACATGGCCACACAGCTAAAGACTGTCAGCCCAACTTGGTGTATCACCTTTCCAAACACCCTTACGTGAGGAAGAGACAGGCAGCTCCTGACTGGGTCATGGTGTTCATGTATCTACACAGCAGAGGCAACTGTGGGGAAAAGCTCCCGGGGCCACCCTTGTTTCATGTGCTTTTCACTGGGTTCGAGTTAAAAAAACCCTTTAAGTCATCCCTGAAATGGACAGTATCAGTTCCAAGGGAATGCTAGTCAAGTCTTCTACTGTACAGGGCAGTCTGGTCTGCAGCCAGACCATCATGCTGGCTGCTCACAACCACCATCAATCTATATTCAGTGCTCATCCCTGCCACGAGCATGAATATTCCCCACTTTGGCTTTTCTTTCATCTGCACTCTTTCTCTTGCTTACAGTGACAGATTCATGGAGAAAGTACTGTTGTCCACATGAGGGATCAAGTGGGCCCAGGGTATACAGGGAAAGAGCATTGGGCTGGAAATCAGGAGACCTAGATTCTAGACCCATCTCTGCCACCAGCTAGCTTTGTGACCCTGGACAAAGTAATTAACTTATCTGGATTTCACATTTCCTCTGATGTTTCTTCCAGTTCTAAGATTATCTGGTTCCAAGTGGACATTTAGGCTCTTACCCTCCAGAACTCTCTTTTCTTGTGTTAGACTATTGTGGTAGTTTTATGTAATGTAGTTTCTGGCATAATAGTCACACAAATTCAGACCATGCCAGAGAGCAAACTGGGGGCCTGGCACAACTCAGATTCTGCTTGGACTTTTAAAAAAGCCAGATGGTACCCTCCTTTTTTAATGCTAGTTGAGCTGATTTCTCCAAATTCTTCCCTATCCCAACCTAACAGAAGTCACCCAATCTCATGTCCATTTACTGTTTAGGCAGCTGGACCATATTTGTACAAAAGGAATACATGGGTCTTCGACACCTAGGCCTTCTCCAGAGTGACTTCATGCTCCAGGTAGACAATTTTCAGGTTAGAAACCAGAATCCCAGCCATCAATGAATTAGCGTCCTCAAAACAAGGAGACCCATATTCCAGTACCAACAGTGGTCTGCATGAGGAGGTCAGGATCTGAGGGGCGGATTGTTCTGCTTGCTGTAATTTAATTGTTATGACTTTATGATTCAGGGAGTAGAAACAGATATGAGTGAGCCAACTCTGAGGACCAGCTGTCTAGCATTGGCTTTAATCTACTGTCATCCCTTTTGTCCCTAGATCTTCCAGCTTGACAGCTCACCAGCTAGTTAAATGTTTGTTTCCTCCACTGCTCTGATTCACACCCTGGGGACTGAGGATCTTGCAAAAGGGCACACCAGCTAAGCTGTTTTTCTGCTTGGTAAATCCCAGTGGTTTGAGTTACATTGACTTTGCAGCCCTGGTGTTTCCTCCTAAAGTTCAAATGGTGCCAGAGCCCCCTCTGTGTGGATGGGACATAATCCATCACTGTTTGGTCAAGAGATGGCATTTGTAATGAGGCATTCCGGCTGGTGGCCTCCAGAGGTCCCTAATCTGCAACCACTTAATACTGCTTTAATAAGCTTTTCACAAAAAGAAATTGTCAAGAGCTCTCACTGACATCCTCAGATACTATTTTAGCTAATGGTTTATCTAGAGGAAAGGGCCTGTCTTCCTGGGGAGAAGGATAGGTACTAGGAATATGGAGGGGAATTAGCAGTATGCACTCCGCCCTGAGAGAATGGAAGGACTGGGAGAGAGAAAAAGAGGATACTGTCAGTTGTGACACAGTGTGGGATTGGTGTGAAAGGCGGAAAGACGAATGGTTAACAAAAATGTTCATGTTTAAAACAGAACAGGTTTTGATCCACTTCTCAGGACATATTTCTGTGGCCACAAAGGGTACAAGTAGGCAGTCACAGTTTGAGAGCATCCAGTCTCTTCTGATTCTGTTTTCACTGAGCAGTTTTCTGAGGTGAATTGAGTTTCCTTAGCAGATTTCCCAACTGAGAAGTATAATAACCAGCTGTTACCATTCTAGTTCTCTTAACAGTTACTATTCTTGTAAATTGACCTTTGGATTTCTGTTCCTTCCCCAGGCAGTTTAGTTAGCAGGCCTCAGTTCTTCCTGGGCCAACTGAGAAAATCAAGCATCTAGACCTATAGGCTGTTTCTAAGCCCCAGAAACAGCAGTCACGTAGATTCCCCAGCCCCCATCAGCAATTAACCACATCTCCTGAACATCCACCACAGTATCTTCTGCAGAGGTCTTTTAGTTCCAACAGACACTGATTCCTCCTTTACCCTAACTCACATCCCTGGAGAAAGGGTGTTAATGAGCAGTAGCCCAATGCTGCAGGAAGAGGAAATGGCTCCTCCCACCGTCCTGAGCAACCTATGACCCCTCGCCCAGGGCTTTGAACACTAAGGCACAGCCTAGGTTATGGCCAGTATACCTTTCCTCCACCCCCTGCCACACAAGATGTTTGGCTATTTCTGTATCCCTCCAGCCCCATCCTCACCCTAGATTCTAGAAAACACCAGTAAGCCATTCTTTGCACTGCTGGGCTGCCTCTGCAGTTATCTTGTGACATCCTCTCTCATAAATATGAGAAAAGAAAAGAAATCAAGCAAATCCACCAGGGTCACACAGCAAGTTGGTGGTGGATCCAGAGCTAGAGCTCAGGTCTTATGACTCCAAACACAGTTTTTACTATATCCCCTTGCTCCTCTGCATTGCTCTGGCACTTGTGTCTGCTGACCTTGTGGCCCTGTGGGGAACATATGGAGGTGATAGAGGTGAAGTGAAAGATCAAATGCAGAAAAAAAATGACAAATTCCAAAGTTATAGGAATAAAATAAGCAGAGAAGGCACAGTGACAATAGTTTAAGTTCACATGCTTCTGGATGAATCTAATGTTTCTGGAGAACACTTTATTGCTAGTTGACTGATAAGTAGAAGAAATTAATCCTTTTCTTTCCTCCAAGTTTACCTTACTTAAGAGTATGTCTATAAGCAGTAACAGTTTATAGATGCTTCATCAGGTTTGAGGATAAATGGGAGAAAAGGCAGTAGATATTGCCTAGTCCTTCCTGGCTTGTTTTTCATGAAAACCCAACTGCTAATGTTTAACAGTAAATGTCAGAAAAAGAGAAAATGACGAGGGAAGAGATTTTCTGCTGAGGTCTGGAGGAAGAAAAACAAGGCTGCATGCTGACCTAGTGAGTTAGGGACCACTGCTTATCCCCAGGGGCACAGATGGAAAAAACAAAGTGGCTGGTGGGAAACCTACAGGGAGGAGGGCCAAGGAGCTCATTGGTAGAGGTACTAGGCTGTCAATCAGTAACTAAAGCAGAAGCCCTGGGGTGCTGAGACAAGCCTCCTTATTCCCCACCTCCTGTTCCTTCTACTGCCTGGTTATTTCCTTGACTTTTTTATTACCATGTTCTTCACAGTGGGAAGGAAATGCCAAGAAGGAGACTATAGTAATACCAAGCATTCTTTTGTTTCATATATATAAAAAGATGCCTCTTAATCCATTTTTAAGTGTACAAGTCAGTGGCATTAATTATATTCACAATATAATAGTAAGCCATTGCCTGTATCCATTTCCAAAACTTTCCTTTCACCCCAAACAGAAAGCATACCCATGAAACACTAACTCCCCAACCCCTCTTCCTCCAGCCTCTGGTGACCTCTAATCTACTTCCTGTATGAACTTAAAGCAGGTATTCCTCCGTAACTATATACACCTCCTAAAGTGTATGAGCAGTGAAAAAGAATGGAACCTGAGATGAAAAGGAAAGTGGGTTATGGATTAAAAGCTAAATTATCATTTTCTTACATGTGACTTAAATATAGTTGAAAGCTTTTTATTATGACTGAGTAGTTTTATCCCCCTGTTCAGAGAAGGCAAAATGAAAGTCCCCCTGCTGTGCTAATTCAGCCTCTTTCTTACCTCTTTCAGTGACCATGCAGCAGGTGGCCAGGACAGTGGCTAAAGTGGAACTCTCAGACCATGTGTGTGATGTGGTGTTTGCACTCTTTGACTGCGATGGTGAGTGGGGCCCTCTGGAGTCAGGCTGGAAAACCAAGACCCAGTTATAAACAATGGAGGCTTGCAGACAATGTACTAGCCTATACCTCTTCAACTTCCCTTAACCATTTTAGTAGTTCGGTCCTCAGTATCTGATATTGAGGAATATAACCCCTGGTCCTGGTTTGTGTTTTCCATTTGTTCTTGTAAGTCCAAGTTGCCTGTAGGCCTAAAATAATTTGTGAACATAAGGATCTTAAAGATAGACACAATTCAACCACACTAGTGTTTTAAAAGTTCTATAAAGAATAAATTCCCACTGAATTTTATAAAACATTTAGGGAACACATAATACCCATTCTCCTTAAAGTTTTCCAAGAAAGTAGAAGAGGAGGGAATACTTCCAAACTCATTCTATGAAGCCAGCATCACTCTAATACCAAAACCAGGCAAAGACACCACAAAAAAAGAAAACTACAGACCAATATCTCTGATGAATATAGATGTAAAAATACTCAACAAAATATTAGCAAACCGAATTCAAAAATACATAAAGAGGCTCATACACCATGATCAAGTGGGATTCATCTCAGGAATGCAAGGATGGTACAACATTTGAAAATCCATCAACATCATCCACCACATCAACAAAAAGAAGGACAAAAACTACATGATCATCTCCATAGATGCTAAAAAAGCATTCAACAAAATTCAACATCCATTCATGATAAAAACTCTCAACAAAATGGGTATAGAGGACAAGTACCTCAACATAATATAGGCCATATATGAAAAACCCACAGCCAACATCAAACTTAACAGCGAGAAGCTGAAAGCTTTTCCCCTAAGATTAGGAACAAGACAAGGATGCCCACTCTCCCCACTTTTATTCAACATAGTACTGAGAGGTCCTAGCCACAGCAGTCAGACAACACAAAGAAATAAAAGACATACAGATTGGTAAGGAAGAAGTCAAACTGTCACTATTTGCAGATGACAGTGATACTGTACATAAAAAAACCCTAAAGACTCCACTCCAAAACTACTAGAACTACTATCTGAACTCAGCAAAGTTGCAGGATACAAAATTAATACACAGAAATCTGTTGCACTCCTATACACTAATGATGAACTAGCAGAAAGAGAAGTCAGGAAAACAATTCCATTCACAACTGCATCAAAAAATAAAATACCTAGGAATAAACCTAACCAAGGAAGTGAAAGATCTATACCCTGAAGACTACAAGACACTCTTAAGAGAAATTAAAGAGGACACTATCAAATGGAAACTCATCCCATGCTCTTGGATAGGCAGAATTAATATTGTCAAAATGGCCATCCTACCCAAAGCAATCTACAGATTCAATGCAATCCCTATCAAAATACCAACAGCGTTCTTCAACGAACTAGAACAAATAGTTCTAAAATCCATGTGGAATGACAAAAGATCCCAAAAAGCCAAAGCAATCCTGAGAAGGAAGTATAAAGCAGGGGGGATCTCACTTCCCAACTTCAAGCTCTACTACAATGACACAGTAATCAAGACAATTTGGTACTGGCACAAGAACAGACCTGTAGACCAGGGGAACAGAATAGAGAGTCCAAGTATAACCTAAGCATATGTGGTCAATTAATATACAATAAAGGAACCATCGATATACAATGGGGAAATGATAGCCTCTTCAACAGCTGGTGTTGGCAAAACTGAACAGGTACATGTAAGAGAATGAACCTGGATTACTACCTAACTCCATACACAAAAGTAAACTCAAAATGGATCAAAGACCTGAATGTAAGTCATGAAGCCATAAAACTCTTAGAAGAAAACATAGGCAAAACTCTCTTGGACATAAACATGAGCAACTTCTTCATGAACATATCTCCCCAGGCAAGGGAAACAAAAGCAAAAATGAACAAGTGGGACTATATCAAACTGAAAAGCTTCTGTACAGCAAAGGATACCATCAGTAGAACAAAAAGGCATCCTACATTATGGGAGAATATATTCAAAGATCACATATCAGATAAACGGTTGACATCCAAAGTATGTAAAGAGCTTGCGCACCTCAACAAACAAAAAGCAAATGATCCAGTGAAAAATGGGTAGAGGATCTGAACAGACACTTCTCCAAAGAAGAAATTCAGATGGCCAATAGGCACATAAAAAGATGCTCCACATTGCTAATCATCAGAGAAATGCAAATTAAAACCACAATGAGATATCACCTCACACCAGTAAGGATCGCCACCATCCAAAAGGCAAAGAACAACAAATGTTGGTGAGGATGTGGAGAAAGGGGAACCCTCCTACACTGCTGATGGGGATGTAAAGTAGTTCAACCATTGTGGAAAGCTGTATAGAGGTTCTGCAAAAAACTAATAGAAGTACCATTTGACCCAGGAATTCCACTCCTAGGAATTTACCCTAAGAATGCAGGAGCCCACTTGGAAAAAGACATGCACCCCTATGTTTATCGCAGCACTATTTATAATAGCCAAGAAATGGAACCAACCTGAGTATACATCAGTAAATGAATGGATAAAGAAGTGGTACATATACATAATGGATTATTTTTCAGCCATAAGAAGAAAACAAATCCTACCATTTGCAGCATCATCAATGGAGCTAGAGGGTATTATGCTCAGTGAAATAAGCCAGGCAGAGAAAGACAAGTATCAAATGATTTCACTTATTTGTGGAATATAAGAACAAGAAGAAACTGAAGGAACAAAACAGCAGCAGACTCCCAGAATCCAAGAATGGACTAACAGTTACCAAAGGGAAAGGGACTGGGGAGGATGGGTGGGAAGGGAGGCATAAGGGGGGAAAAAGGGGCATTACGATTAACACACATAATGTAGCAGGGTGGGGGGCACAGGGAAAGCTGTACAACATAGAGAAGACAAGTAGTGACCCTTTAGCATCTTACGATGCTGATGGACAGTGACTCTAATGGGTATGTGATGGGGACTTGATAATGGGGGTAGTCTTGTAACCATAATGTTGCTCATATAATTATATATTAATGATACCAAAATAATAAATAAATAAATTCAAAAATTATAAAGATAATTACAAAAGATAAAGAAATAAAGCTCAAAAACATGGGAATGCAAATGCTAGCCCCAACTTGCTGCTTAGTAGATTACAGGAGCACTAGAGTACTGGAATGTCTCAAGGAAGAAGTGGGTTCTGATCTCTCCACCTCCCCTAGGCACATCCCAGTCATTCACATTCCATGTTAGCATTCCCACTTACAGTGGTCTCTTATGTCTGTGACCACTCTGTAGTTTAGCCCATTAGGAGGTCCTGGTTCCACTCTGGCATTATCCCTCAGCTGTTTAGCTGACATAATAATAAAAATATTCACAATGGAGGCTCACCCTTTGTTCAGTGCTTACTATGAGCCAGGCACTGTGCTGAGCTGCTTGTTTTAATGTTGCCATAGGAATTGTTACTAACCACAATTTACAGATGAGGAAGCTGAGACTCAACGGTTAAGTATGTTACCAGGATCACATACCTAGTAGTGGATGGCAAGACCAAGATTAGAATCAAAGCTGTGCTGCCTCCCTCAGTACTGTATTACCTCCATTGCTTGTCTCAGCTCAGACTCACTGTTCATCTTCTTCCAGGAAGTGAGGCTAGTCAAGAACCAGCTCAAACACTCTGCCTCTGTGAAAACAGGAAGGACTAGGCAAAGAAAAAAAGAAAGTTTTGTTCTGGTCCCATCATGATGAGTCACTCTGGTTTTTTCATTCCTTAACTTGGTTCAGTTTGTCTGCATCACTACCTTTATACTCTCATTCTGTGTATGTGACCCAACTACCCTACGAAACTGTGGCCTTTTTAAGGGTAGTTACAAGTCCTTTGTTCACCTTTGGACACACACACCCCCACTCACTCCTGCCAAAGGACTTCAGATAGTATTTTGCACATAATAGGTGTTTATTAACTTAAGTTATATAAGTTCTTAAGTTGAACTTGAGTTATTTAAATCTCCCACCTGCACTCAAAGCCGAGTCAGAGGAAGACCCAGGGCTCAGACAAGGTCAAGTTATTCTATAGAGCTACCCTGTCCAATATGATAGTTATATGTGGCGATTTAAATGTGAACTAAGTAAAACCAAATGCAATTTGAAACTCAGTTCCTTGGTTTCTCTAGCCACATTTCGAGTACTTAGTAGCTGCATGTTGACTAGTAGCTACTATGTTTACTAGCACAGATTAAAAACATTTCCCTCATCAAAGAGAGATTAACTTTCCCCAGATTTTGGGTTTATTCTTTCTTTTTCTTAGGTATCATTACCTTATGCTCAGGTTTCACATGAGCAACATTGTGGTTACTACATTCCCCCTTTTATCAAGTCCCCTTCACATACCCCATTGCAGTCACTGTCCATCAGCATAGTAAGATGCTATAGAATCACTACTTGTCTTCTCTGTGCTATACTTCCTTCCCATGCCCCACCTATTGCTCTGTAATGTATATACTTCCTTCCCATGCCCCACCTATATTATGTGCACTAATCATAACACCTCTTAATCCCCTTATCCCTCCCTTCCCACCCACTCTCCCCAGTCCTTTCCCTTTGGTAACCGCTAGTCCATTCTTGGGTTCTGTGAGTTTGCTGCTGTTTTGTTCCTTCAGTTTTACTTTGTTGTTATACTCCACAGATGAGTGAAATCATTTGGTACTTGTCTTTCTCCACCTGGCTTATTTCACTGAGCATAATACCCTCTAGCTCCATCCATGTTGTTGCAAATGGTAGGATTTGTTTTCTTCTTATGGCTGAATAATATTCCATTATGTATATGTACCACATCTTTTTTATCCATTCATCTACTGATGGACACTTAGGTTGCTTCCATGTCTTGGTTATTGTAAATAGTGCTGCAATAAACATAGGGGTGCATATGTCTTTTTGAATCTAGGATCCTGTTTTCTTAGGGTAAATTCCTAGGAGTGGAATTCCTGTGTCAAATCGTATTTCTATTTTTAGTTTTTTGAGGAATCTCCGTACTGCTTTCCACAATGGTTGATTTTGGGTTTATTCTTACCACTTCTAAGTGGTTTGAGTTTTTTCTATAAAAACATTTATATTTACAATTTTTTTACTCTTTTAAATTTTTTTATTGAAATACAGTTGATATACAAATATTGGTTTCAGATATACAATATAGTGACTTGACAATTATATACATTACTAAATGCTCACCACAATAAGTGTAGTGACCATCTGTCACCATACAAAGATGTTACAATATTATTGGCTGTATCCCCTATTGTCTTTATAACTTTTGAAGCCAGTATCCTAGAGCTGGTTTATGAAGTGAATATGGAAATAGAGACAACCAGCCATGTGATTCTCCTCTACTCTAGGAATGCCTGGGAAATAGCACTTGATTTTCCTGCTTTTTAGAAGGAGGCTCTGTCAATATCAACTTGAATCACCTTTTAGAAAATCACTGAATGTCTCTGGGAGATTTTTTCTTTATCTACAGAAAAAGGAAGTCTATATTAAATTTAAAAGCCATTGTCATTTATTTCAGTACAAGATCCTAGATCAAAATGTGAGAGGACAGAGAATTCCAATTTTCAGACTTGTCTGTCACGGAATTTAGAGTTGCTCTCACAGATCACACAGGCACACAAATGGCATTCAGGTACTTACCTAGTTCATAGGTAGAGCCATTCAGGCCAGTCAGCTCTGACCTTAGAAAAGCAGGAAGCAAAATCCCATGGTAATTTGAGTGAAATGAGGTCAGGTTATTTTTTTTTAAGCATCTTTTTATACAGAATATTAAGAGTCTTGCTTAGACCTTATTCTTTTAATTACATTATTACTCAGCCATATTATCGATTACTATTCAGCATAGCCAGGCTACATTTTAACTTTTTGTATTGAAACACAGTGTACATACAGGAAGGCGCAAATATCGTTAAGTGTCAGCTTGATACTTTTTAAAAACCGAACAAGCATTATCCCGAAACATCACAGTACCAAGACCACACAGCACCCCCTTCCTGCCTTCTAGTCATTTCCTCTCCCAAGGGTAGCTACTGACTTCTAGTACCACAGATCAGTTTTACCTGTTTTTATTTGTTTGTTTCGTCTTGCTCTGAGATATCTCTGAGGCTGCCCATACCCTCTTCAGCTTAGGTGTTCAGGTACTCTCTACAAAATGAAATCATCTATTCCCTCTTCATACTCTCTTCCCAGACCAGTCATTAGTAGGTCTTTTTGCTCCTTTTCTGTTGTCATCACCAGCAGTAATAGCTGTCATTCTTATAATCAGCAGACATTTGCTCCAGGCATCTAGTCAAAGGGAAAACTGTCCTCCACTGTTGGAGTGGTTACTGTTCCATCTGGCTTGAGAGGTGACCTTTGGTTAAACCAGATGATCTCCGAGTTCTTTTCCAGATCTGAAAGTTTGCCACTGAGGAGGGTAGATTGAGAAGCTATGGGAAAATTGGGCTTAGCCCATAGCCAGATTTTGATTTGGGTTTGCACCATGAAAAACCCTTATCATCTCTCACCTGCACCATTGCAGCAGCCTCCTACCTGGTTTTGTAGTCCAGTTCTGTCACTTTCCAGTCCGATCCACATATATTCACCAGAGAAATCTATCCAAAATCAAAATAAGACTCCATTTCACTCCCCTACTTCCAGTCCTTCCCTGGTGTACCACTGCCTAGAAGATAAAGTGCAAACCCTTTAATAAAAATGCAGCATCTCTTGGGGCCCCGACTCCTGCCTGCCTTTCTAGTTTACTTGCCATGTCCCCCACTTCCGTGTGTCCAGCAATTCCTAACCACCTGCAGTTCTCCAGCAGCCATGCTGCTTCCTGCCTGTGCGTTTGCTTAGGCTACCACCACTACTTGGAATGCCTCTCCCATCTCACACCCCTTTACTTGGCCAATTCCTGCTCATCCTTTGGGAATCAACTTAGAAGTCACCTCCAGGAAGCCTTTACTGACCTATACTTGCACCACCCCCAGCCTGGGCAGGATATTCTTCCTCTGTGTCCCCACAACATCCTCTGTTTACCCTATTTTGATTTACCACACTATGAAATAATGTATTTGTCTCTCCCACAGCCTGGGAGTCTTTTCAAAGGACAAAGTCATATTTATCTCTCTATTCTCAACACCTAACACAGGACTTGACATATACTATATTCTCATTCAGCTTTTGTCATGTACACTAAACTACCACTGAGTTGCAGTTGGAAATATCAAGGAAGGAGCAAACTAGCTCATTTTAAGGCAAGAGAACTGTATTTGGCTGTGAGAGGGCACTGGGCTTTGGAACCCACATTGTGTGAACGGTGGAATTTTTTCAGTATCTTTGTTCCCAGGCCTCCACTTATCCCTGTTGTGTTTGCCTCTTCCTCTAGGCAATGGGGAGCTGAGCAATAAGGAATTTGTTTCCATCATGAAGCAACGGCTGATGAGAGGCCTGGAGAAGCCCAAAGACATGGGTTTCACCCGCCTCATGCAGGCCATGTGGAAATGTGCACAAGAAACCGCCTGGGACTTCGCTTTACCTAAACAGTAACCCAAAGCTGCAAGAGGGGCCATTCCTCCCCGGCCAGCACCCTGGTCCCTTGAGCAGAGCAAAGCCCTTCCTGATGCTAATTCTGGAAGTAGGTTTCTTTCTTTCTGGGATTGATCTCAGGATTCAACCAGTTTCCCCTCTCTACCCTCCCACTGTCCTAGCATTTGGCTAGGCTCTGAGTCTGCCTGGTGACTATCCCCACAGGGTCTCAGAAACATGAACAAGACCTCAAAACTCAGATTTAGGGCACTTTCAACGGTATACCCATTTAAGCACCCTACGAACAAACAATGAGAGAACAATCCACACACCTACTAACCCTGGGAAACACCCAATGCTTGAGTTGTTTTTGCTGTGGATTTATATTACCAAGAATGCTCCTTGCTTTTCTTCCTACTACAAGGGTTTTTTTAAAGCTACAAGTTGGGAAAACTTTTGGCAGGCAAAAGTATCATTCTGTGATGAATGGTAATAAGGATGACTCGGGCATCCTGAGCTGGCAGAAAGCCTGGGCCAGTGGAGGGATCTGTGTCAGTCCCCAGACCATCTCTGAGGCCTGCTCTGGGAAGGTGATGTGCACAGTGGAAACAGAGCAAGACTTGGAATTTAAAGCAGCTGTTTCGTGGCTCTCTCCACTCCCTTCTTTTCATCTAGGGCTCCCTAAGAAGACTCCACCATGACTCTGCTTATGAGCAGCAGTGACTGAGTTTATGTTCCCTGCAAGTGCCATTGCCCCCTCCAGGAGTGTGTCTCGGAAGCTGAGGCCTAGCTCAGGGCCTGTCTGCCCTCCATCTTAAACAGTTGTAAAATATCATTTTAATTATAACAGTTTGCAATAAAGCCCCCCCTAAAGGCTCTTGTCTCCTGGATTGTAGGACTCTCTGGAGCACTTTTTATTTCACTTCTCCACCAGGTTTGAGATCCCGCTTGCAGTGACTTATTTTCTTTCTACCAGAGTCTGGTTCGTCCTGTTGAAATACAGCTTTAGGCACAACAAAAATGAGACCATTCAGAGGCTAAGGGGCACACTGTCCCAGCACAGTTCAGATAGCATTTAATCCTGGGCCAAGACACAGTGTCCTTGATTACTCATAACCCACGATAAGGAAAGAAGATGGCTGGTGGAGTATATATGGGAAGTCATCCAGTATGGTGGACCTAGGCTTTAAGAGCCACAGCAACCAGTGTTTTATATGAACTCAACTCTGTCACTAACTCAACGTGCCCTTGAGCAAGTAATTTCCCATCTGTTTCCTCAACTGTAAAATGACAGGGTTGAGTTTAATGCACTTTAAGTTTTCTTCCAGTTCCAAAAGCCTCTCCTTCAGCTCTCCTCCAGAATAATGTCCCCTTCAGGACAGTTTTTCTAGTCTAATGTAATAGAACCATCACACCAAAACCCAGTGCTTCCTGCCACGCCTGGAAGGTGGTAGGGAGGGCTCACCAGCCAAGAAGAGCAGAGACCTGGGTCTGCACCTATGGCTCCCCAAGGACGGTACCAGCACCAGCATTTTCTCCAGAGCAAATCAGCAACCTCACTTCTAACATCCTTTCTGGGAACAGGTTAGATTCGCTCTCAAAGGATTTTGCCACTCACCTACCTCAGCTGTCTTCCACTCTTTCCTTTCCGGGGCTATGTATCCCTGGTACCCAAGTGGAGTCTTTGCCTTGCTCATTGCCCGAGGGCTGAGGCATGAGCAAAATGTGAGCTTTCTTAAATTTGTCCCAGAATTCCAAAATCACTCTTTTCCTCAGACCTTGTTTCTTCAGCCTAAAAGGGGCCCATTTATAGCCTTCGTGGGGCATTCACTCCCTACAAAAAGAAATCTGCTAATCAGCCTGGGTTCACTGAAGCTGAAAGCTAGAGCATAGTAGGAGAGGGTAAGGATCTCAACTACAACATCTTGAAACCTGGGGTCAAGGGCACATATCACAGGGATATGGAATTCCAGCTGAACGCCTTTAGCTCCTGGGAGTGCCTGAGGAAGCAGAAGTAGTGCAGGTGCTCAAGAAGGCAGGATGGCCACACTTCGGCAGAATGGGATAAATGCACATGTAAGAGGCACTAGCTAGGTCACCCAGATGAGCCCATGGTTCCCCAAGGAAGTCCTTGAGCAAGACGGCATGTGAGGAGGCTGAGAGGATTTTAGTAGGCAGACTTTGGGGGTAGGCTGGGAGCATTTGGGAATACAAAAGACTGATGGTGCTTCTCTTTTTACTCAAATTATTTCTTCTGCCTCCATAGAATAAACTTCCCCTTCTCCTTCAAGACTCAGCTCAAACTGTCCCCTCCTTAGGAAGCCCTCCAGGATCCTCATCCAGGCAAGACTGTAGCCCCATCCTTGCCTCCCAAGGTTCACTTGCCCCCCATCATAACACTGCTGTAATTCAATCTAATTTTTGTGAGATTGTCATCCCCAAAGTTGAGACCCAAAGCAGTGATGTGACCAAAGAAACAGCCACCACCGAAGGTAATTTAAAATTTTAAGTCTTAGCCAATGTAAAAGTGATTCCAGCAGCACCTCAATAAGCTTCTCCCACATACTCACTGCCACTCCCCACTTCTTTGGTTGTTTTCTCTACTTTAAAAAAAATAAAATAACTCTCCAGTCTAGCCACTAGGCTTTGCAGGGGGAAGGAATTTCAGAAGTGACCCAGGCTGCAGGGCTCCCTTGGCCGTGGGCCATCATCCACAAGGGCAGCCGGGAGAACAGGAGCGTTACTAAGGAAAATGGGCTTTAGAATCTGCAAGCTCTTCAAAACGTATTTTAATAGCTTTTAGAGCCCCACCCAGTTTTAGGTCTGGTTGGAGCATATGCACTCGGACTGAAGTGGAGACCAAGACAACAGAGAAGTCCAGGCAATGACTACTACCAGATAGAGAGTAAGGGACAGCAGCATGGGAGCCAAGAGCCAGGTCCTCCAGCCAGAACGTCCACCCCAAGCCTTAGCATAGCCCAAGCTGGAGGATGTGACACGCAGCTTGGCAAAGAAGAGGAAGCAGAGGTAAAGTTAAGCTTTCAGGCTTCAGATGCCATCTGCTGGCAAGACGGCTCAGCATGCAGACTCACTGGTCTGGAGCAGGGGAGGGGAAGCTGCTTGAGTCAAGCCCCAGCCCTTTTCTAATAGGCCTCCCAGGGACCTGAGCAGCACAGGTTTGAGTGGGATGAGTGGCCAGAGATGGACCATAACCATGAGGAGGGATGCTATGGACATGATTATAACAGAGGAGGAAAGAAGCTGTGCTTGTGTATTGTTCTCTATGGCTCCAAAATGGGAATTTTTACCAGCAAATGAGAGGGTATGAGTTACTCTATTCATTGCACCACTCTTTACTGCTCACCAGCCATGTGCCAGGCACTGAGCAAGGTCTCCAAGCAGTTTGAATTCTAGTGAGGAAAACAGAGAAGAAGCAATAAGGCTAAGTTTATCTGCTATAAGAGCACTTGGAAAAGCAGAAGGGCCATTTAATCCAGATTTTGGAGTGCAAGGCAGGCTTTCATAGCAAATTTTTCTTTTTTTTAATAAAAAAAATACTGAGGTCTGAGAGTTCAATAAGAGTTAACAAAGGAGGAAGGGGGAGTGCCCAGGCAGAGGGTACTGAGTGTGCAAAAGTCCAAAAGCCAAAAAGTGTATTTCTGTGAACAGAAGCTCTAGAAAGTACCCAGTGCAGAAGACTGGGGAGTGATTTTGTGACCCAGAAGTTAATTAAGTCACAAAAAAAAGATGAAAAACTACATGTGGGCATTTTAAAATACACTTAGAGGTTACAGAAAAAATCATGATGAAAATTTTTAAATACTATGGGAAAATAGTCATGTGTTCAACAAATAACTTATTGAAGCTCAAATTAAAAATTCAATTACCCATCAATCATTCACACTCTTGGGTGAATTCTCATCATCTTCAATGTGAGGTTTAGGTTTTCTTTTTTTTTTAATAGGTAAACATTCACATGGTTCCAAAAGCAAACTTACATAGAAACAAACACACTGTAAAGCTTCCCAACCATTCCCACAGCTGCATAGTATTCCACTGTATACAATAGTGTGATCGATAAGGGTACTTTCTTCAAGGAGGGATTTTGGAGCCTGGAGCTCTCTGAAAGGAAGGCCTCAGTGTGGGTCACATTTGGAGGGAGCAGGGGACAAAGGTGCAAAGGACAGGAAGTGAGGGATACTCCACTGACTTGGCAATTCTTCCTGAAGTCTTAGGAAGGAATTTATCCCCCTGGCTAGCTCAGTGAAACCCTGGATAAGGTGTCTGGGGAGAGAAAAACCTGTCTCTGGGATTCATCTATTCTGTTCACTGAACAGATACCTACTGAGCCCATGGTAGGTATCAAGCCCTGTGCTCAGGCCCTTGGGAATGTGGGAGCCAGATCTCCACCTTAGTTTAGCTGGAGACAGGTGGGCCAGCTGCACACAGCAGTGAGGGTGAGTGTTCACGGAAGGGCCAGGCTCGGGTGCTATGGGAATTCCAAATGGAGAGCTCATGGAGGAGGCCTTTTCTCAGCCTCAAACTCTGGCTCAGATGTAATCTTGCCCAGAAAGCCCTTTAAGTCCTATACAAAACTAACAGCCCCCTCTCTCAAGCCTTCTCTGGGGCTGACACACAATCCCTCTGTTCCCTTACTAGACTGAGCTCCCCACTGCCAGGTTCGGGCTTTTATTCATGGCGCATCTCTGAATCTGTAAAGTTCTGCTCAGTGCCTGGCTTGCAGTATAGACATGTGACTACTAAATTAATTCTGCCTCTTAACAGAGAAGATAGAGTTTAAGCTGAGCCCTGAAGTATGAATTAGACTTTGGTAGGATGGAAAAGATAACGAAGGAGGACAGGCAGATAGATAAAGGCGGGATGACATGTACCTTACTAGACATGGGGAGGGGACAATAGGAGAATAATTCATGTTCAGCTCAGACTGAATTCTTGGTGTCCCCAGGAAAGAGAAATCTGGAAGATGGTGGTCACTTAATACAAGGGCAGCTTCAGCTCTAGTTGAAAAATGAGGAGATGCTAAGATTCACTTGGAGATTCATTTTCTCAGTTACTTCTCCTGGGTATCTGTGGAGGCACTTAAGGATTGAGCCCCATTCTCCCACAAATACCATGATTCCAACTAGTCAGGATAGAAGTTCCCATTTTTTCCTTAGATCCAAAATCATGACATCTTGATTTCAAGGACTATCAAGGAGAAGAAGCTGTCATTTCAGGTCATTCCTAGCATACCAGTTCCATTTTTAAACAAAATCTATAGACTAAGGATCATAATGTTTACCAGGTTTTACTAAGGACCTGAGCAGAAGTGTGGCTCTCTTCCTGGCCTTTGGACTGAGAAGGACCCATAGAAAGTCAAACTGCATCAGAACAAAAACCAATAGACCCAGTTTGAGATCTAAAAGAATGGTAGAGAGTGATAACATGTAGGCTGGTTAGACCTCAGTTTATAATTCCCTCTGAAACAACAAGGCCTATCTGAATTGAAACAATTTGGGAACCCAGCTCAGCAGCAGAAGGGAGGGAAGGAGAAAAATGTGAAAATAAGGTGTAACAAGATACCACCCCACCACACACTCAGGCTGCCTCTCCAGATCCTTACTGCTCCATACCCTGCCAACCGAGCCAAATTACTGATCAGACTCAAAACTTAAATAAAATTTTGTTATTTTTATGCATTGTGGAAAGGAGAGGAGGGCTCACCAGCCGGTAGCTGGGCAATCACAGTCCAATTCCTTAACACAACAAAATCACAGGCCTTCTTGAACACAGGAGTGAACTCCTCACAAACTGAAGTACCTTCAGTGGCTGGCAGGAGAAGAGGGGCCTCATGATCCTCAGGAGATGGAGATTTCATGATGCTTCACAGGAGAGAGGAAGATGGACACTGAAGTCCTCTGTCAGAAACCTCAGGCTATTTGAAAGTCATCCCAGTGTTTACCATTAACATACATTAAGGAATTGAAACAGTTTGGGAGACCTATCAATTTATGGAGACCTTGACTCTCTCTAAGTGTTGGGCTGTCTTATTAAGGAGGGGTTGATTTCCTCACCACCAGGATACTCTAGCAGGCCAGCTTGCAGTCACAGGAGTTTGCATCAAGAAGGGAATAGTGGAAATGAGAAGGAAGGTTTGATGTAAAGCTGTGAGCAGGCTTTTTTATTACACTGAAAAAATAAAAGCTATCTGGAAAGAACTTTCACAAGTTCCCACTTCAAAACTGACCAGCTGTCTGGGAAGAACTTTCACAAGTTCCCACTTCAAAACTGACCAGCTGGCCTGCAGCACACCTAACCACCCTGCCTTTCCTCCAGAAAATTAATGAGTTGTCCATGTGGCTTCTAAGGCCATCCCTCACTTGTGCTCCAGATCCTGCCTCCTCTGTCTACTGCCATAGTGGTCTCCTTCCTTCCCTGCATTACCAAAATGTATTGTCCAATTAAATAATTCCCATCACAGAATGCAATAGTATACCCCATCTTGAAAAAAAAAATCTTCCCCACATTCTCCACTATCAACCCATTTCTTCCTCACCTTCAAAGATCCATACCTGACAGGCTTTCACTACCATCCACTAAGAGCAGTTTTGTCAAGGTCACCACTGACCTCCACACTGTCACACCCATTGGCCATTTCCCAGTCCTCATGTTGCTTGGTCTCTCCACAGAGTTCACCAAAGCTTGACCCCCTCCCTCCCTTTCTCTTGAAACATTTGCTTCCCTTGGCTTCTGAGAACTCATTTTCTCATCTCACAAGTTGCTGCTTCATTCTCCTTTCCTGGAATCTCCTCTTCTTTCAGACCTCTATTGGGGTTTCACAGTATTATAGTAGGTGGGTAGCCAGACAGGAGCGGGGGTGGGGGGGGGGACTTTGGCTGGTGTTTACATTCAGTTAAATGCTTGTTTACATTCTGAACATTCCTGTAAGCTGTTTTAGCGGGATGTGAGGAGGGAGGTTATTGATACCAGACCTGACAAAACTGACTAGTTCCAACATGGAAAAGTTGACCCCGACTTCACCTCAAAGTACATTATACTCATTAGCATACTAAAAATCATACCCTTGGCACCATGATAGTTCCAAGGAAGACCATCTAAGGACAAAATAGGGTGTCACCCTGTTTCCCAGAAATCCCCTCCCTATTCTGAGAAAACCCCAGCCAACCTGTGGGGTTTAGTCCACCCCTGCTTAAACTCCAGCTATAAAACCACCCAACCCAATCCCACCATGCTGCTCACCTCTGGAGCACTCTGCACTCCTTCCTTGAGTGTGTACTTTGCTTTATTAAACTACTCTTTGCTTTTATCTGCTTCACCTGCTTGTGAATTCTTTCTCAGAGTCAAGAATCTCCCACGGGTTGAGTTCTCACCTAGCACACAGGGAGACCTCCCCCGACTGGATTGCCCAGCAACAACTGGGCTCAGTAATCAGCTTCTGCTCTTCCCTATCTACATTCCTTTCCTTGATGCATTTTGTCCCATAGCTTAAAGAATCCCTACATATAGATAATTTACAAAATTATATTTCCAGCCCCATTGTCTTCCCCCAACCCTACATATATACAACTTCCTACTGTACCTCTCCATTCTAAAAAAACATCACAATCCCAACACACCCTAAAGCAAACATTTACTAGTTGCCCCAGTTCCCCGGTTCAGCAAATAGGAACTCTGTTCTCCAACTTAGGCCAAAAATCTTGGAATCATCCTTGACTTCTCTCACATCGCACATCCAATCCATCAACAAAATCATCTTGTGTCTTCCAAACGTATCTAGAATTTGACTACTTCTCACCACCTCCACCATCCCCCTTATTCACATTACTGTAGGGCCCACAGGTGGGCCACCCCAAGATGTGCCACTTTGGCCTGCAAATTATTTCAGAGCTGAAAACAGTCAAGGCCCAAAGACTCAGAAAGAAACTTTGACCTTCCCCCTAACTACATAAACCAGATTTAGATAGAGGACCTGCTCTAGGAAGAGAGCCATCACTTAGATAGCTGCATTATAATGTGAACTAGGTAGACAGGGAGGAAAGTGGCAAAGACTGTTAAAATTTCTCTCTGTGCCCCATTGTCTCTGTGTGGCCCAGCAAACATTTATTTGCCAAACATTTGCTCTTTCATAGTCCTGTGAAATGCTTACCTTTTCCTTTGACATCCCATACCCAAAACCCCTAATCCTAGTTCAGGACGTCAGATATACCTCATTGCCCCAATAATCTTTGGAATCTCACATCTATGGTGTCCCCACACATAATTAAACTTTGGGTTTAATCTCCTCTTAATCTGTCTCATGTCAATTTGACTCTTAGACCAGCTAGAAGAACCTTGAAAGGTAGAGAACAATTCTTCCTCCCCAACATTACCATTAATTCTCACCTGGATTATTGTAGGAGTGTCCTAACTCTCACCTGTAGTAGTCCCTTACTAAATATTGCTTGAGAGGCTAAGTAATATAAAAACTAAGAAATGATTGATGGGTTTGGCAATATGGGTCTTTGGTCACCTTGCCAAGATTGCTTTTACTGGAGTGGTAGGCGTGGAAGCCTAATAGAACTGGATTCCACTCTATAGTGGAGTCCTACATGCTCTCCGTAGCATATCCTCACTAACCCTTACTCATTCTACCTGGACCATCCTTCCTACAGAGAGTCACATCTGGATTTACATTTTCTCTCTCCTGAATTAACATTTTCTGTTAAAATGCCAGTTTTTGTGAGATTTATCAGCCTAAAGTAGCACCTCCCATTCTCTATCACTTAATTGTTTTCTGTTTTTCTTCATAGCATTTATCAGCCTCGGATTATCTGTTCATTGGATGTCTCCCCACTACCCAGCTACACACACTAGAACGTAAGTAAACTCTAGATGGGCAGGCGCTTTGTTTTGTTCAACACTGTATACTCAACCTGGCAAAAAAGCGGGTCCTTGATAAATATCGTTGAATGGGTAAATGACTTTCGTCTCAAACGCACAGAACATGTAAACATACGCAATTTTAAGACCTCGAAATGACCCCTCGGGTTCCAGGAATATGGGAGCGCACCTTAACACCTGTTTTAAACGGCCTCCTCTTACAAGACATACGGTAGCAATTCCTCCCTGGCTCAAATCTTAGAAAAGGAGGTACAGAGGGTTTATGTCATCATCCTGCGCCCGCCTGCTCCGCGACGTGCCGGCGGCTGGCGCAGACCTTCGTTCGGCCGGCCTCCCTCTCCCTGGTTCCGCGCTCGGGTTCCGCCATGGAATCCAACAAGGATGAAGCCGAGCGCTGTATTAGCATCGCCCTCAAGGCCATCCAGAGTAACCAGCCTGACCGGGCGCTCCACTTCCTGGAGAAGGCGCAGCGGCTGTACCCTACGCCGCGAGTTCGTGGTGAGTATGAGCTGCCGGAGAGACAGAAGGGACATTAGCACTGATGGGGGGAATACGGGAACGGACCGACTGAAGCAGTTGGAGGAGGGGGAGGGGTGCCGACGGGCGGCTACGCCTGCGCACTTAGACGCGCGGTGGCAGCCGGGAAGTGTAGTTTTTCGCTCCCAAGCCTCTCTGGGACGCTGGACACCTAATGACAGGGGCAGCCGCGACTTCAACTTTCTGAGTGCTTGTGGAACCCTCTGAGATTTGGAGTTCCCGAGAATGAGAAGCGCTGGAAGACGTCGCTAAAGGAACTTACCTGGCTGCGAAATCGAACTACTTTTCCCAAGGGGCCATTCGGTGGCCCAGGGCCAGTTACCGGCCTGGGAAATATTACAGTTGGGGAATGTAAACATGAGTCCTCTTAAGGCGAAAATGGTTTCTAGAGAGGGAAAGAAGACTTCCTACCTTTGGACGGCCTGGAAAGGCGTCTCCACATTTTCACTGCCTCGCACATCTCAGGGCGAGGGCCGGAGACCACCCCCGCGAAACTAGAGGCTGTGTTTTTCCCCGCGCCACACCATCACCTTGGACGGTCTGTCCTGAGACCCGGCTCCGCAGAAGTTCCTGGAGCTTCTCCACCCGCTTGTGAGATTCTGAGCGAACGGCCCTGTTGGGGACGCTGGCCTCTGCCACCCCCAACTACCCTCCCCCGCAAGAGTCCATCAGAGGCCAGTCATATGGACGGCTGAGCGGCACCAGGCTGCTAAGCGGCCCTGGACTGAGGCTTCTAAACCAGCGAGGTTAGAGTGAGGTTGCCTCAACTACTCAGCACCTCACCTTACCCATCTCGCTTTCTTTTCCTTTAACCTAAATCTTTGAAGAAGTTTTCTTAACATGACCTGTAAGGGAGAAAGAGTAGTCCATTAAAAAGTGACAGGGTTTGTACCTGCAATCACCATTTAGTAAACCGTCTGGCATGTAACAGGTACTCAGAAGATGGAGTTCTCATCCTGACTGCTACCATGTGATCTTTCTAAGCTTGAGTTTCCTTAGTCTGGAATATTAGAAGGTTGGCGCAGATAATGTGAGTAACAGTGATTCCCATAGGGTTTTTCCCTTTAGAAAGCTCTTTCAAGTGCCATTATCTTACTTGAGCCTGCCCTATCAGGGAGGCGGAGCAAAGATCATTACTTTGTTCTATAGATGAGGAAATACCTCAGATGGAAGGGACTTGCCCAGGATTACACTGCTAAAAATCAGAAAGTTCTACTACTATAAATGTTTACTAAAGGAATGAGATAAAATTTAAGAGCTGCAGTCAGCCTCCTAACCTTCCTTGCCCACATAATGAAATTTGGAAAGGGGAGCACTGGCAGACAAGGTAGTCTGGAATGCTTGAATTTTCCTCCCTCCTGGCTCTGCAGGTTGATCTGTGGCCTATTTGCCTTTTTTTGGAGAGGGTTTCAGTCTGTATTAGCCCAGACTCCTGAGGTAACCTGCTCTAGTTCCTTACTTAGAAAATAAGCCACACTGTGTAAGAGCAGAGCATGATGGGATGGGGGCCCTCCAGCTCTCAAAATCCTGTCTGACTCTGGGCTCAGGAGCAGACAGCCAGGGAAGGCTGGTAACAACATGGCCTGTGGAGATCTTTCTGTCAACAGGCTGCCTGGGCCAGGTATCTTTCCTGAGGTTCAAGCACTGGAATTTGGTAAGGCAGAAGAGTCACCTGCTCCATATTTGTCATTTTCATACTACTCTGGAAATATTCTTTAAGGCTCTCTGTAAACTTTACTTTGTGCCATGTGCAGCCCTGCATTGAGCTGACAAGGTTATGGGGTTAATTCAGGCCTGGGATGGGGAAATCTTAATTTTAAAAATATTAGGTAGTTGTTTACACTTAGTATTTGAGGTTTGAGCTTATTCCAGGTGTGCATTCGATGCAACAGACTTTTTTATTTTGTTTTGTTTGCAAAGCCCTCTGCTTGGTGCTCATTGGCATAACAGGGTGGGTAAGACATTATCCTGATCCTTCACCTCAAGTAACTTACTCTCTAGTGAAGGAGACAGTTATAGAAAAAAATTATATTGCAAGCCATAAAATGGTAACTGTAATTAAACACAAATTAAGTACCGTGTCACATGCTGAGGACTTAAGGATGGCATGGAAAATCCAGTCCCTGCCCTTCATGGGTTCGAAGTCTGGTATGGCGGAAGGGAGTGCTAGAGGGGAGGGGGGCATGGAAAGCAATCTTCTGACCGTTATATTGGGATAAGAGGCAGCATTTGAAGTACACTTTGGAGATTTGGAGAAGGACGTACTGGGAAAGACATGGAGGCTAGAAGCTGTAAAAGTTTTGGGAGAGGGGATTGAGCATAGCAAGATTTGGAGGCTGTGGAGGTGGTAATTTGAATCTAGAGAGGATTAAGGGGAAAGTGTGAAACATGGAGAGGAAGTTGGTGCAGACACAAAATTGGGCCATAGCCAGTGGAGACAGACAGGAAAACATCTGTCCTAAGCCAGTGGGCAAAGACTGAGGAAGCAACAGAGGGAGCCCCGGCTGGAAGAGGCAGTCCCAGGAGAGGGCAGTAGCCAGGCAGCCATGGGGCAGTGTGTCAGGGAGGTGGTAAGCTGCACTGGCACTGCTGCAGAGGCCACGAGAAAAGGAGAAGTCAAGAAACAAAAGGGGAGGATCCAGAGCGTGGGTAGAAGATTGGTCTTGGAGAAGTGGAAAGACGGACGGGTTAGGGTGAAAGGAGGCTCAGAGCAACCTTGAAGGGTCGAGGGACCTCACAGGATATGAGAGGACTTGAAACTTGTGCTGCAGGGAAGGCACTGAGGCCTGGACAGTATACTGTGGAGCAGCAGCCAGGCCCTACTACCTAGCAGATCACACGGCAGGGCTAATGGAGCCAGTCAGTCCCTTTTGGGGAGTTTCTATCCAGCACCTGGCAGCCTAGTAGCCATTGGCTTTGCCTGAGGCTTAGCAAAAATGGTAGAAGGTAACAAGTTTTCCAGGGAGCTGATGAGAGCATCCATAGGCCTCAGTGTCCCCAGCACACAGAGTGTTGGCCTGGATGATCTGGCAGCTCAGGCTGCCTAAGGCTCTGAAATAGCTGTCTCTGGGTCCAGGTGAGTCAGGAAGGCCAAGCTGGGAAGGCACGCACGTGGGTGAAGGGAGGATTGGTTGCCGAGTGATTTTGGCATTCCGAGTCTAGAAGGGAGAGCTGTTCTAGTGCTGGAGAGGTCTGGTGGGCTGGTCCATTCAAGTCAGTCAGCCTTCAGAAGGCCCACTGTGCACGCAGCCCTTCCATTCACCTTATTTCACTGAATCTTATTCATCGCCTCAAAGCACCCCTATGAGAGTAGGGATCTTGTCTTCACTGAGGAATCTGATACCTTGACCAAGCCTATGTGGTTCATTAGCAAAGGAACCAGACTGCTAACTCCACCCCCAGGCTCTTTCCCTACTCTAGGCTCCCTTTCACCCTGAGCACGACAGGTACATAGAGCCTGGAAATAAAAGTATCAGTACAGGGAACACTCAGCTGGTCACTGGCCTAAGTTCTTTATATACATTTATCAATTGACTCTTCCAACTCTCTTGAGGGAGATACAGTTTTACATGGAGAAGCTAAATTAACTTGTCCAGGATGACCTGCTACCAAGTGGCAGAGCCAGGTTTTAACCCAGGCAGTCTGGGTGTGAGGAGGGACTAGAAATGCTTAGAAATGCTTTCAGATGCCACCAATCCCACCCCAGCTTTGGTCCCATCCACCCATTTCCCTCCTTTTTAAATATCTGCTAGCTTTACTAGGAAGGGGCAGAGTAAGATTTGAACCCAGCCTTGTATGTATAACTCCAGAACCACATTAAGCTGTTCTATCTCCTACTCTTTTGTGACATTTGCCTATCAGCCACTGTGCCACAAAGAATGTGACAGTGAGTCAGGATGAGGCAGTCACAGGCCTGGCAGAGGGGGTGTCCAGGCCACAAGAGAGACCTACTTTGTCAGCAAACAGAAATCTTGAATTGCCAACTCAAGCAGGAACCTTCTATGTGACCCAGAGCACATCCATTCTGCTTTGGGCTCTCTTTCTCTAGTGTAGGGATATTGGAATGGCTACCTCCAGTAACTGCCCTCAAAAGCTTCCAGAATCTTCCCTGAAATTACTGGAGATAGTCCATCCTATTTCCTGGCAGATGCTCCTACAGCAAGTGAATGGCTGGTCATGTTATCCTTAGGGTACGTCCGCTCAGCCTGGACCACTGGGGCTTCCAGAGAAATTGAAACAAACAAGGTCTTTAAAAGCCCCCACGAAACCAGCAGAACAGCTCCTCCCTGTGTCACAGATTGACTGTGATCTCTTCATCTGCTGGTTTCTTCTTCACTATTGGTGCCTGACATGGACCTGGCGTCTGGGACAGCTTGAGAGCTCATGGTTACAACTGGCTCCAAAGCCTGCTGAGTCCTGAGACTTTGCCTTAGAGCTCCCCAGCCCCCACTGCCTTGGGTCCCTGCACCTCCCTGGCAGGCCAGTTCCCCAACCCCCATCATAGTATTAGAAGCTACTCATTTTGCACTTCTAGTCCGTCAGTCTCTGCCAGGTGCTTATGCACGCACGTTATTTCATCCTCATACCCCATTGTGAGGAAACTGAAGTTCAGAGAGATTTCATAGGTAAGTCAGGATCATATTGAAATGGCTGAGCTGAGATTTGAACCAGGTCTTTCTGAATTTCGCTTCTTTTCTATACTTGGAATGCCTGTGCTGGAAGAAGCTCCCGGTCAGACTCAGGTGGTCAGTGACAGCAGCATAGCTAAGAGCTTGGTTTTGGGAGCTAGACATCCTGAGGTCCGCATGCTGCCTACCCACCTTGTGCAGCCGTGGGCCAGGTGATCAAACCCACAGCTCCTTCCTTAGGGGGCCATGGTAAAGAGGCCCACCTCAAAGGCCACTGCCCAGGTTAAATGGGCTGATACTGCAGAGCACTGTGTCCACGCCTGCCTGACACATGCTCATTGCTCTTACTCCTCTCAGGGCACCCTCTCAGGGTTTGCTACGGGAGCCCTTCCTCAGGTGGGGCAAGCTCGGCTTATCAGCTCCTGTGTTTGGATTTCCCATCTGCTGACCTGGTGAGATCCTGTGAATTTGCTGAAATTAAGATAGTGGTGACTAGGTCACAGTGGTCCACTGGTGTCCCAGTGTTTTGCTCCAGTGATTCCTGCTCCAGGCCCCTTGGATGAAGCCCAGATGTGTCATATGTCATAGTGAAGGGTGTCTGACACCCAGCACAGTGCCTTGAACCAAGGAGGCACCTGGCACCTAGAAAGAAACTGGGGACCAGCTAGGTGTGCTGCTGTCTTTCCTAAGCACAGAGGTGCCCTGGGTCCCTGCAGTGCCCTGGATGCCTGGCTTCCCGGGGTATGGAACCTTAGGCCTGACTGGGGTTTCAGAACTGGTTTTAGGCCTGGAATAAATGGGCATAGGGAACTTTTCCAGAGATTCAGGCCCTTCCTCATTTAGTCAGCAGGAACCAAAACCTTAGTTTTGAGTAACTATGAACCTGTCTGAGGTGTCAGCTAATGCGCAGTGTAGACTCCAAACATTGGAGTAGGACATTTGACACAGCAGACATTTGAAAATGTAAAAAATAACAAGTAGCGAGCACAGCAGTTGTTTGGCCCTCTGGGGCAAGATTATCGCCCCAGTCCTGTTCACAGCTAAGCTAAGGCTCCCAGGAAGTCTTTCCCAGCCGATCCCTGCTGACCCATATGGTCCTACTAAGTGGGGTCCCCATTGCAGAGAACTTCACCCATCTCGGCACTCAACAGAGGATGTCTGTTGAACATACTACGGATTTTCAAAAACCTGAAGGGCTGATAGTTTGTTTTTATGTTGAATTTTAAAATAACCTATAATCTGCCCACCCTGAGACCTGTGAATCCACAGAGAGCAGGGGACTGGGCCACTAGCCTCCCCACAGGCCAGATCAGGGAAGGAGCTAGTGTCTTTGCTGGAAGAAGACACAGGTGGCATGTGGGGGGTGGCTGGCCTCTCCCAGGACAGGCAGCCCCTCAGCCATGGCATGTGGCCTTGCTGGAGCAGGAGCCCTGAATGGCTTCCTTGCCTTGCACAGCCCTGATCGAGTCCCTGAACCAGAAACCACAGTCTGCCAGTGACCAAGCCCAACCCACAAACATGACCCACAGGAAAGGAGGTGGGGCGGACACCCCTTCGGCCAATGGTGAAGCTGGAGGAGGAGAGGGCACCAAAGGCTACACAGAGGAACAAGTAGCAGCTGTGAAAAGGTAGAGGGGGCTGGGCTGGGTGGGCAGAGGCTGGGGCCTGCAGCGCATCCTCCGCCTGGTGTCTCCCTGTAGTCTGGATGGGTCCTGGGAGGGTCCTGAGGTCCTCCAGCTGGTCGGGCTTACCAGGCCCACTCCTTGGGTCTCACTAGGCCACAGAATACAGTGTGGGAATCAGGGCTCTACCATCCCCTCCTGCCAGGACAACCCACAGCACAGGCTGGAAATGCTGACGCTGCTGGCCACTTCTGTTGCTGGCCAGGGTGGCGCTGACCTCTTTACACAGCTCTGTTTGTCAGACAGAGATGAGGCCTGGGCACCCCCTCCAGCTTCTCACTGACCCCCCACCCCCAATAAAGACCCTTTCACACAGAGCCTGTGTGGGGTAGGGTGGAGACAGGACACAGTTATTCCTCCAAGGCTTGGGCAGGCCCTACACGAAGCAGCTACCAGGCTGAGACAGTCCAGCCAGGGCTTCTCAGGAGTAGAAACTCCCAGCTTTCATTTTTCCCCAGGCTCTTCCCCAGCTGGCTTCAGGGACCCCTCCCCAGGCTCTCACCAGCTGGCTTCAGGGACCCCTCCCCAGGCTCTCACCAGCTGGCTTCAGGGACCCCTCCCCAGGCTCTCACCGGCTGGCTTCAGGGACCCCTCTGGGCATTCCCACATGGGCCTGGCTGCTAGTGGAAGATACTAGCAAGTTCCAGGTCTGGGATTCAGCCTGTAGGTGACCTAACATGGCTATTTGCCTAAAAGCATAAGCCAAGTTTGCTTTTTCTGACCAGACAAGCCAATTGGTTATAAGCAATAGAAACTGACTGTGGGGAGCTGGGAAGGCCTGGAAAAGGCCAAGAATCAGGGAGTCTCCAGAGGCCCCCGGAGTAAGAAGTGATGGAAGAGAAGCAGGGTTTCTCCAAGGCCCTGTGATGGAGTGAGTGGAGACCTGCCATTTCTGGCCTTTTTGTCAGCACTGAAGACTTGGATTGCCAGGAGAGGGTCCAGCTGGCTGAGCTTGAGACATACCTGCCCTTGGGCAGAGGCCCCTGATCGACAGACATTGACAGTTCTGAGGTTGCCTCCAGTGAGAGTTCTTTAGTGAAAGGATATGGTTTCTGAAAAGCACAGCAGCTGCCTCCTCCTAAATACTAAGTGTGTCCATCCCAGTTGGAGCTCCTGAGGCTGCCTTGTCCCTGCGGTCCGACGGCTGACCCAGAGGGGCTGTCAGCTAGGCCCTGTGGACCCCCCTGAGCCTGCTCAGTGCTGTGCCCACACAGCTCACTCCTCCTCCGCCTCCCCTCACAGCCTTGGGCCCACATAGCGCTCCCCCCGCCATGCCTTTCTCCCTCCTGCCAGGGTCAAGCAATGTAAGGATTACTATGAGATCCTGGGGGTGAGCAGAGCAGCCTCCGATGAGGACCTGAAGAAGGCATACCGCAAACTGGCCCTCAAATTCCACCCAGACAAGAACCACGCACCTGGTACCACTGAAGCCTTCAAAGGTAAGCCGGCCTTGGTTTCCCTATGCTCTGGTGTTATTATCTCCTGTTCTTGGGAAGGAATAAGGGGCCAACACAGCTTTTCCAGGGAATGGAAAATCCCCCTACTACACATACACCCATACATAGGATATACACTCCCGTAGCAAATTCACACCGCATGTGCTTACACGTAACACACCCGAGGGCCTGCAGTGGCGGGCATCCCTTTCAGCCAGCAGAGGGCAGAGTTGGTCTACTGGACCCACCCCAGCAGGCACCAGGTCTCTGTGGTGCCTTTTGCTCTGCACCTGAGAGAGGAGAGGCAGCAGTGAGCAGGCAGGGGCAGCTGCTTTCTCATGTTGAGGTTCTTCCCACAGCCTGCAGAGCCTGCAGTTGAAACTGGGAGATAGAATCCAAGAACTGGAACGATACACCTCCTTGGCAGTCTTTCTGCCCTAAAGGCCCATTGGTTCTGGGATGGACGCTTTCAGTTCTGGCTGGAATCATAAGCTGCCCTTTTGTTGTTTATATTTTCACTGAACCTGCCAAACCCTGAGTCTGTGCCAGCACTGGCTGCTCTGGCTCTGCCATTCCACATATTCCTCAGACACCTCTTCCCTGATGTCCACCTCTTTCCCCTCTGGACGGACCTTCAGGCTCACCTTTCTCTGGGAGGTAGCATGTTGCCTCTCCCAGCATGGCCCAGGACCACAGCCAAGTGGGTAGCCTGTGGCCAAGTAGATCCCAAGACCTGGTGTCCTGTCTCCCAAGGCCTGCCCCGGGTGCTCCATTCCAGGCTGCTTGGGGTTGGGTCCCCTCTGCTGCCAGCCAGCCAGCCCCAGAGGGAGAAGGGGACTAGGAGTAGGGAGGCAAGGCAGCCGTGGCTTGTGTTGCTGCCTCCCGGACCTCCACCTGCAGCCTGCTGCGGCAGCACTGGGATGCCAGACCTGGCCTGGGACCTTGTCAGAATGAGAGGAGGACGGGTGTTCCTCCTATTCCCAGGGATCGCAGGCTCTGAAACAGATGTAGCTTGGAGAAAGTGGGCCACTTGAGAAGGAGCAAGAGACAAAGGGAGGCTCAGAGCTGTGGTCACATAAGGCACAGGCTTCCCACCTGCGGAGCTGTCATGGGGAGGCCCCAGGGCCCAGCAGAGGAAAGCAGCTGGGGCCTAGACCCCAGGGAGGAGAGGGCTCGCCCAGGCCACACTGCCCACTTGGAGCATCTCAGCTAGAACCCAGGGATTTGGCTATCCTGGCAGTGGCTGTTAGGAGTAAATAAGATAATGCCCATAAGGGGCCTGGCACGTAGAAAACACCAGGCCATTGTCATGAAGTGGAGAGCAAGTAGCCTGAGTATTAATCCTCTAGCAGCCCAGGCTGCCCATATTCCCTTAGCGGTACTCCCATGTGCCCCCCTCTCTGCACTTGCCCAAGAGCCAGATTTCCTGCTGGTTGCCAGGACTCCTGCTTCCTAGTACCTGAAGGAAGTGAGCCCTTGGCTGCCAAGGACGCCTCCATCCCCAGTATCTTCAGGCCTGACCTTTCTGCCTCCTTTCCAGCCATCGGCACAGCATATGCAGTACTTAGCAACCCAGAGAAGAGAAAGCAGTATGCCCAGTTCGGCCATGACAGGACCCAGGCAGCCCAGCCTGGCCACGGACACGGGGACTTCCACCGCGGCTTTGAGGCTGACATCTCCCCCGAAGACCTTTTCAACATGTTCTTTGGTGGTGGCTTCCCATCTAGTAAGTACCTCTACCCTCCCCGGGAGACAATTGAGTCTCCCCGGGGTGATGGTGGGAGACTGGATGCCAGCCTCACCCTTCCCCAGCAGCCCCACTCCTGACTCAGTCCCTCTGACCCCCAGGTAATGTCCATGTCTACAGCAACGGCCGCATGCGCTATACCTACCAACAAAGGCAGGACCGCAGGGAGAACCAGGGTGACGTGAGTGAGGAAGGTGCTGGGGAGAGCAGGGGAGGGTGCCAGGCCGCATACCAGGGTTAGGGGTCTGGGGAGGGGAGTGATATCCCCAGCTGTCTATTTTGGGATGGGCAATGTGCCCCTATAATGCTCAGCCAAGGAGCCATCTTGGGCCCGCCCCCTCTTGCCATTCTGCTGAGCGACACCAGAGGGAGCCACACTCCACATTGCCCACCAGAAAGGGGGCGAGGCCAGATTTTATGGCCTCTGTTGGGGTAGGTAATGCAGAAACTTCACCTACAGACAGATTGAATGTGAATGACCTTTGTGCAGTCCATTTGTTTTTAAGGCCAAAGTGACATTGTCCAAGCAATGGAAAGTTAAAACTTCATGTGAGAATTGTAAAGGATGACAACATAGTTGCTGACTTTTCTTGCTTCTTGTCAGCACTCTTTAAAATGTGTATAAAAGCTATAACAAGACAATGCATCAGACACATTTTGAATGCCACAGATTAAAGAGCTAGCTGACTAAAAAATACTGTGGACAATTGCAGAACATTTAAAACATGGCAGACGGGGGTTGCCTTTTGTTCTGATGGTGTGGCCTTATATTTTTACTTTCTCATTTTTTAAAAGTGTTTTGTGTGTATTTAATATTCAGCAAAACTTTTTAAATCACAATCACAGTGAATAAGTTTATAATTTTTTTTAACTGGAAACTTTATAATTGGTAATATATTTGTATAGTTCAAAATTCAAAAAGGTATATACAGTGAAAGTCTCCATCTAGCCCTGCCTCCCTGCCTCCTGGAAGCAGCCACTTCTGCTCATTTTTTTGGTTTTCCCTTATAAGCAAATAACCTTCCTCCTATATTTAACACTGGAAGCTGGCAGGTGGAAGAGCTTCTGTGTTGGGGAACCTGTGGGAGGGTGGGGAAGAGCATGATGTCGTGACCTGTTTGCGGCAGCTGCCTCCCACCACTTGGGCCCTGTTGTGCCAAGAGAACTCATGGTGACTGCGGCCAGCACCGCACCGGCACACAGGTCCAGCTTGAATGACCATTGGCTCTTCCCTCCAGGGAGGGCTGGCGATGTTTGTCCAACTGATGCCCATCCTTATCCTGATCCTCGTGTCAGCTCTGAGCCAGCTGATGGTCTCCAGCCCACCCTACAGTCTGAGCCCGCGGCCGTGAGTACCTGCAGCTGGGGACAAGGACAGGGTGGGGCAGATGGGGACTTGGCTAGCTCAGCCCCCATCAGGAGCCTTCCTTCCCACCCTGCAGCTTCTTGATCTTAATGCAGAAATATGGCTTAGAATCAACAAAGTATACTTTCCCTGCTGAGCTGAGGTGCTTCATCTTTTTAGAATCACAGTCCCTAACGAAATACAATGCAAACCACAGATCTTTCCCCTAGAACACTGCACATACACATGATTTTGTGTATGATTTCACAGACTTCAGCACGCGCACACACACACACACACACACGCGCGCGCCACACACGCCCCATCTTACCTGCTGACCTTGATATAAGAATCTCTGAGCTTATGTTCTGGTTGGGAGCCCTGGGGCCATGTAAGAAAAGGAGTCAGACAGAGCAAGGGTGGTTTTGCATCTCAGCTCCTCTAAAAACGAAGCAGCTGTATGACCCTGGACAAGTTATAATATAATTTCTCTGAGCCTTGGTGTCCTCATCTGTAAAGTGGGAATAACATCATCTACCCGCTTGTAAAAAGTAAATAAGTAACATACATAAAATGCCAGGCTCATTAGAAATGTTCAACATTATTTGTTGCATGAATATATCATCTCAACCACCAATAATGACATTGAGCGAGTTATTTGGCCTTTTAAGATGTCAGCTGCCCTTATTTATTTCTAGCACCTGGCATAGTAACTGATAAGTAGCGGGTGCTCAGCTCCCATTGGTGGAAACCCTCTGCTCCTACCAAGCCACCTGGCTCTGAGAGGCTGGCAGCATCCCTTTCAGCCAGCAGAGGGCAGAGTCGGTCTACTGGACCCACCCCAGCAGGCACCAGGTCTCTGTGGTGCCTTTTGCTCTGCACCTGAGAGAGGAGAGGCAGCAGTGAGCAGGCAGGGGCAGCTGCTTTCTCATGTTGAGGTTCTTCCCACAGCCTGCAGAGCCTGCAGTTGAAACTGGGAGATAGAATCCAAGAACTGGAACGATACACCTCCTTGGAATCCCTTCTGTCTTTTTGTTCCTAAGCCTCTTAACTCTTGACTAGGAGGTCCTGGATAGGCAGGTGGGCCCTCAACAATGATTGGATGATTGGCTTAGGGGGTGAATGAGGCAATGAGGCACAGGGACCCAAGGTACACAGCTTGTCAAGGCGAAACCCAGACTCACTCCAGGTTCCCTCCTTCCCTGACCAGGGCCTCTTAGAAAGGGGCTTCTCCCTAAAAGCCCCTCATCAACAGTGTTGTAAGTAGAGACTCTGAGGGAGGGCTGGCCATTGGGCCACTTGGATGGAGGGGACACCCTGGCTTCTCTTCAGACCCTCACTCACTTTGGGTGGCATGTGAGTTCCTGCTATAGTTTAGGAAGGGAACAGCTACTCTTGTGGCCTGTGTGCACCTCCTACAGGGGACATTCCCAGACCTGCCCTGAGTCTGGGGACCCGTGCCCACTTTGTGCCTGGTCTATTTCTGGTCAGGTCGGTGGGCCTTGTCCACAGGCGAGTCACTGACCACCTGAACGTCTTCTACTATGTGGCCGACACCTTCTCTAAGGAATACACAGGCTCCAGCCTCAAAACCGTTGAACGGAACGTGGAGGATGATTATGTCGCCAACCTCCGCAACAACTGCTGGAAGGAGAAGCAGCAGAGTGAGTGTGCACGTGCTGTGGGGCAGAGCCTGGCTGCAGCCCCCGAGGAAGGCCCTGCCCCACCAGTGGTGCATGGGCCCAGCCCCCAACCCTGCGCCAGCAAGTCCCAGCCAAGAGCTGGACTCCACCCTGTGTTTCCCTGGGGCTAGGAGCCAGGGGTCACCTAGAGATTTCCTTCAGCTTCCTGTAAATCACTGCAGTCAATCTGTCCCTTGACTGCCAGACGTAAGTATGTAGATAGATTGGAGTACATCTGGCCACCTATTGATTGGACACCTGGCTCTACCTGTGGGACCCTGGGGACTTCTGACCAGGATGACAGGTTCTTACCTTGGCTGGCCTCACCTATACTCTGTAGAAAGAGGCCACTGTCCCTCTCCCAAGTTGGGGCCATAGTCTTCCCCAAAGTGAAGCCAATTCTGCCCAGCTTTTGGGCCTGTAACAGCCTTCCTCCTGCCCCACAGGCCAGACAGGTACCCTGGTAGCCGGCAGGAGGTTCTGGGTGCGCCCTAACACTACCCAATTGCTTTGCAGAGGAAGGCTTGCTGTACCGGGCCCGCCACTTCGGCGACACAAATATGTACCACAAAGCACAGAAGATGAGCACCCCAAGCTGTAACCGACTGTCAGAGGTGCAGGCCTCCCTGCATGGATAGTCCTGGGACCAGCACACCACCAAGGTCCAAGTAGGAGCCAGGGCCTTCTCTGCCCTGCAACTCTTGGCAGCTCTGGCCCTGGTCATGAGGTGGAGGCAGGAGTGGGATTGGGGAAGCAGCCTGGTGATTTGGCACAGACTCCTGTCCCCTGCCTGACCTCCAGCCTGCAGAGCTGGGGCAGCTCTGGGTTATGCTGGGAAACTCAGGTTTGTTTCAGGCCCCTGGTGCTGCTCTCCACCCCACTCCTACCGTATAATCTGGCTCTGGGGCAAAGTGGGAGCCCAAGGCTGTAACTGAGGGCCATCATATTTCCTTGGTCTGCTTCAGCCATCAAGTCACCAGGGCCCTCTCTAAAGTGCAGCAGATGATTGTCTGTGTCCTGGTATTTAGGCCACCAAATATTACTGGGCCCAAGATAGCCACCCCCTCACTCCTCCCCTGACACCAGAAAGAACCACCCAGGCAGGGTTGGGCCAAGAGCCCTTCCTCTTACCTTCCCTCAGGCAGGAGGAAATGGAAGATGAATGGGCAGCCTGCAAAGGGCAGGGGAGGGAGCTGACAGACTGGGAGCAGGAGAGGCCTGTGTACCCTGACTCCTCTCCCTCTGGCCAGATCAGAAGCACCCTGTAGAATGCTGCTGGACCTGGCAGTCAGGGAGCCACAGGCACCAGCCTGCCAGACATTTCACCTGTGGTCCGAGGAAGGGAACAGAAGGTCATGAGTTAAAGGTCGAATGCAGAGCTCTCAGCACAGAAGGGATGGGGGAAAAATGAAAGTTGCTGGTAGCAGGGCCCTGACTCCTTTAGCCCTGTGTGTGGGTAGTGGGCTCTGTTCCCAGCATTTGCCAGAGGGGACAGTGTGCGCAAGCCTAGAGGAGTGTGAGCAGAGCCAGTAAAGTTTCCTTTCTGTGTTAGTACCCTGTCCATCCCTCCTCTGCCTGTGTTACTTCAGCAGGGATCCAGCTACAGACGGCTTTGAGGCCATTTGCTGGTGCCTCAGGGAGTGTGAAACAGACTGCAGGAGGGAGATGGGGTGGGCGAGGAGGGCAGGACTGCGGCCAGGAGGCTGGTTTGTTCGTGTGGGCTAACTAGAGGCTCTGGACCGTGTGACTGCCAAGCTAACTGTTACCACTCTCCTCCCCAGACCATGAAATCCCTGGAGAATTTTTGGTGACCAGGCACTGAGCCAAGGTGATGGACTGTATCTTTAAGGAAAGATATAAAAAGAAAAAAAAATTAAAATGGCATTGGAGGCCGAACACCACACAACTGCCCTCTCTCTCGCCCAGTAAATGCAGAAGAAAGCTCTTAGGACAGACAGGAAAACCTGCCTTGGGGCTGCTTCCCCTCCTCCCAGGGCTGGCAGAAGCTCAGGATCCACATCGCCTCCCTCCTAGGATACAGAAACCATGGCAACGAAAGTAGAATGTAAAACTTGCAGCGAACATCTATGGGAAGAGCTGGGGGAGGGGGCGTCCAAATACCTTCTTCCCCCTCCCAGGAGCCGCCACCAGTAACCTCTGGGTGGAAGCCAGTCAGGGGCCCCATTGGCCAAGGGTACGGAGGAGCAAGGGAGGGAGCGTGCCCTAGGGGAACTGAGGGATGCGTGCATATGTATATATATCTATTTATATGTAGATAGCATATAGAGAGATATATACATATAGTCTTGCTTTTTAAATTATGCAGGGCTTTGTTTAAGTTGTTCAGCTGATTTCTTCCCTGTTTTAGAAAACAAGGCCTGAAAAAAAAAAAAGAAAAGAAAACAAGGCCTGGGGAAGGTAACCTGGTCCTTCAAAGGCTAACTTAGTTATAGCTGACACAACAAGGGGAGTCAAGTCATACATAGCTTTTAAAGTTCCCTCAACCCCAGCCTGTTTTTAATGGCAGCAGTAATCATGATAGAATAAGTCTGTAGAAAACTTTTGAAGGTAAAGCTGGTGGAAGGGAGCAGGCTGTTGGGGGAGAAAATGCCCCTAGGGCCAGATATCAGGTCAGTATTGAGTCATGGAAGAGGTTCCAGATGGCCTGTAGAGGTGGCAACACCCACCTCAAACTTTGGCCAGCTCAGGTGGGCTCTTTGTCCTGGTGCCCAGGAGCCCTCTGACCCCTGCCACAGAAAACAGCAGACCAGGTTCTGCCTAGCCACCCCATAGTCCCTAAGAAGGGTTTGCCTTATAGATACCACAGGGCACAGCTCTACTGTTGCCCCTGGTATTTCCCAAGTCATGCACCAAGGACTCCAGAAGTTTCTTCCTCCAGGAGTCAGCCAGGTAGTGCCCAGGACCCCTGGGTAGCAGCCAACTCATAAAGTCCATGCCTGCAGGCATCACTGTCTACGCCCACCCTAGACACAATGCCACCCAGCCTTCGCTTGCCCTTTGGATAAAGGATATACCTGAACCAGAGGGTTCTCTTATCCTTCAAATGAAGATTTTTCTCAAAACAGCATTTGCTGCCAGGGGATGGGAAGGAGGTTTTATTTATTCCCACAGTTTATACTGGGCCTTTTGGAATAACCGTATTTCCTGAATTCTCTGGTGGTGGTTGTGTCATCGAGCCTGCCATCTTCCAAAGCCTTACTTCCCCAAGCTGCCAGCCAGGAAATGAGAACCATCCTCCCAGAGTTTCTCTTGGTCCTTTTTTTTTTTTTTTAAGTATCCCAACAAATAGGATTTTTGCTGGGAAAGGAAGCTTGTTGAAGAAATGTCAAATCTGGTATTTGAACAAGGTCCTACCCTGTGACAAAATGGCCAGACTGGCCTAGAGAGATAAGAACTGGACATGTGCAAGAGTGCCCCACTCATGGGGGCCCCAGTGCTCTGCCCCCACCACCCCTACCGTCTGGTCTTGGTAGATGTCCCAGATGGGCTGAGCCATGTGCAATAAGAACATAGATCCTAAAGGATACCCTGAGAAGCTGTATTTCTTGAATTAGAATTCTGAAATTGTACATCTATAAATAAATGTTTATTATGTGATTGGCCTCAGTGGCATCTTCGTTGAGCAAAGGAACTGCTGTGCATGGTGAGGGGCACAAGTGCCTACTGCTAAGTAACACTCTCCAGCCTGTATCACAGTTCTGGTGACAAGCCTGAATGGCCCCCTCACCCGTTCCCCCAGCTGACAGCTACTTAGGTCACACGTGTTCCAGTGAAAGGGTAAGGGGCTCAGGCCAGGACCCTGAGGTCCCTGATACCAGTCCTGGGTGGGCAACCCAGGCCATGATCATCTCTACCCCGCCCCCCAACCTCCTTCTGCTGCCTCTCTTCATCCCTCAAATCCCATCAGACCTTCTATGAGCCAAATGATTCAGAACCTCCCTCCTCCCCAGCCTGAAGCTCGAGCCCACTCTAGAACTAGAGCAAGGGGAAAGTTTCCATCTCTGGCGGCACAGTCTTCCCAGACACCCTTCCCACGCTGCCCCCACAGACCGCCTGCCCTCAGAAGGTCGGAAAAGTTAAAATGTGGCAGCTCAAGTAGGGCTTTCCGTGAATTGAACGGCAAATCTGCCTGGGCCTCCCAGAGACAGGGCCGGGCAAGAGCGACTGGCGGCCAACGGCCCCTCCCGCTGCTGCTCCAACCAAAGACAGGCGGGCTGCCCGGTGGTGCCACTGCAGCCCGGGAGCCCATTGGCTGCCCCGCCCAGGGTCCCCGCAACCTGATCTGCCTGGTGTGCGCACCGCCTCTTGTGAGCTGCAGTTGGCAGAGGCGATGCCAGCCGCTCCCACTTATTCCCCATCCCTCTGCCCTAGTGTGCAGCTCGGTGAGCCAAAAGAGGTGGACAGGCTCCTGACTGCTGCAAAAAAGAGCCTTTGACAAGTCTCGCCACCCACTGTCAGGTGACATAACTGAGCCACCAGTCCATCCACGCTCCCTGGATCTGCCGGCTTATCTCCTCATCCCAGGCTGCCCCCGCCCGCCCCCCGCCCAACTGTAATCTAATCCCCCCAACCTCCAAGTTGCCCAGGTAAAGTCACCTGGCTAGGGCAGGCACACAGCAGTGCCAATTCTTAGGTAAATAGACTGTTGACACAGTGTTGATTCTGGAGCAAGTCAGAATCCTTACCCGATGTCACACCATTTGATTTGGAGGAGTCAGCCCATTTGCCAGAGCAGGAAACAGATTTGGGGGAGAGAAAGTGATGCTCACGTCTCCGTTAAGGTGTGCGTGTCTTTGGGGTCCATGTAGCAAAGTAATCATTCTGCAAGCATTTGTTGAACCTGAATTCACAGTCCTCAAGGAGATCGACCACATTCGTGCCAAGTAGAGTGGCAGAGGACATGAGTCCAGCAGGGTGGACAAGGGAAAAAAGCCACACTAAGGAAAATGGGACTTAATCTTAGGGGCTTGGGCTGGGGGTGAGCTGCACATAGGAGCAGGTACCCACTATCTTCTGGCATTGACAAAGGCGACCACCCTGCTGTGCACAGTGGCTTCTCTGAGTTGGCATCACCCCCTCGAGAGAGCATTGTAGATCAGTTGGGTATCAGCCCAACTGCCCCGCTGGATCCAGTTCCTAGCTGGGTGGCCTTGGGCAAGTCACTTGGGCTTGTCCTCGTCTTTCAAATGGGAGTCATAAACCCGGCTACTTCACTGGGATGCTGTGCGGAGGGAAAGGGTTATACATATACAGCACTTCAAACAGTGTCTAGTATGTAGGAAATTGTATTTAAGTGGTGGTGTTTATTCTCAGTCAACAAAGATGAATTGAGCACCCACTGGGCGTCAGGTCCTTTCCAGGCACAGAAACCACATGCGACAGAGACGGACTGTCCTGGGGGACCTGAGGAGGGTGAGGGTGAGCCATGTTCAGCAGAGCCCAGCGGGCAGAGGACTGTGATAAAGCAACCCTGGGGGCATGGCAGGTGCTAGCATCTCTGGCTGGGGACTCCTGATAAAGGAACTGGCATCTGTGAAGGAGATGGGAGTGTGGGCGGGGCTGGGGGCAGAGTGCTACTCTGGCCAGAGCGGGACTGTGTGAGGCAAGTCCTGGAGCTGGGAAAGTAGGAAGTGACCGCATTCAAGGACCGATACATAGGCCGGGCCTCCAATCTATAATTGTCATCTTGCCAGTCACATCCAGTGAGCAAAGAACTCTACTGAGAATGAATGAACTGGAGCCACTGAGCCCCTGCCCCCACCGCCCGAATCCTGGCTGTTCCCTATCAGTTCAGCTACATGTTTAACAAGCATTTCTGAGCCCTTCTTGGTGCTGGGCCCTTTCCTCAGGGAGAGTGACTCAGAACAGCAACCCTGTAAGGCTATCAGTGACGGAGATGGAGGGTGGGAATGAAGGCAGGGGGCACCGGCAAAGATGGAGGCCTAGGTGGTGCCATTCACACTGTCGCCCCCTTCCCCCAGACTCTCATGGAGGGATGGTTCCCCAGGGGCAGGGCCCAGGCCTCCTGTCCCTTCCATAGCCCCCAGCCACTTGGGTAGGAAATACAGGTCCAGATAGGACAAGAGGTGTGAAGCAGGCACCCTTTAGGGTCCCCACAGCTAAGCAGACCCCCCAGAGCCCAAGAGTTGGGGGCTTTGCTTAAGAAAGGGGAGTGGAGGTCTGACCACCACACCTTGTCCACCCCTATCCTTCCCTCCCCTTTCAATAGTTTGAAAGGAGGGCCTTTTGCAGCTCCATCTCTTGCCGGGCTTTTCTAGGGGAGGGCAGGGTCTCGTTCACCAGTGAAACTGGTGCTGATAAGGTCAAAAAATCAGGTTCAGGTCCTTCATGTACTATGTCAGCAGCCGACTTGCTTAACCAGATTGTTATCACTTTCTGATGGACAGAGTGAGGGGGCCCAGGAGACAAATGCTAAGCATCACAGGAAGATACTGGCAGTCTCTTTTTACAGATGAGGAAAGTGGAGACCAGAGAGATGGAGTGACGTCCTTTTTCTGGCTCCAAGTGGCCAGCAGGGCCCGCACACTCTGACCCTGCTGGCCACTGGAGTCTCTCCAGCTACATTTCCCCCCGACAGGCTGCCCCAGCTCCTTCTGACCACAGCCTCCCTGCTGCTCTTCCGCTCCCCCTGCTCCAGAGGCCTGCCCACATTCCCACAGCCTCAGCCTGGCCCCGGCCTCACCAATATTCTGGGGGTGTTTGTGCTGTTCTTGGAAGAAGGCTTGATATCCCAGAGAGGCAAGGGCCTGTCTCGTTCAGTCTGCAGCCCTAGAGCCTGGATGCAGTGGGGTCTCCAGGAACACTGCTGAAGGAAGAAAGGTCTCAATACCAGACACCTTTCTGATGGCCACTTGAGGTCATCCCTGTGCAGCGTTCTCCACTTCACCAACCCTGCCCAGGGTCTCCCTGTAGGTAGATTTGCAGCATATAGAACTGGGGACACCTCTCCCAGATCTGAGAGGGCTCAAGTGAAGTGTGCCCATCTGGGGAGAAGGACCAGTATCCAGCTGGATGGTGTGGGGAGGTAACCATTCTCTCATGGGATAAGCACTGAGTGGGCCTTTCCCCTTTTCCCCACCTCCTGGGGGAAGCAGAGTCCTGCTGAAAATGCCCACGTCTCTCCCTGAGCAAGGCCCCAAGTACCAGGGACTAGAATGAGTCACAAAGAGGCTTATCTTCAAGAGCAGCTCCGACCCCTGTCCGAAGCAGTCACTATACCCCTGACAGGAAGAAGACGATGTTCTCTCCGTGCTCAGGTCTGTGCCAAGTGGTGCCACCCACTCCTGGACTCAGACGCAGTTCTGTCCCTTAGTTACCCCAGTACTGCCCTGGCCACAGGCCTCAGGGTCACCACTGGCAGGCTTTGCTACCTGCTGGCTGCCAGCCCATGTGGCCCTGGTTGCTGAGGATAGCATCCTGGACCCCATATGTCAGCCAACCACCCACTACTACCTGTAGAGTGCAAGCGCCAGATGAGCAACAGCTGTTTTGGTGGCATTCAGGCTGTGAGCCCCAGGCTTGGAGTGGCACACAGATCGCACTCAAGGCCACTTCTCTTTGGTCAGCTGTGGGCCTCAGGCTCCCTCTAGTCCCTGCTCAGCAGTGAAGTGCTGAACACAAAGTCCAGAGATCAGGTTTCAAGCCTCATCTATAAAGGACATTTATATCATTTAAAATTTGTTAGTATAATTATCATCATCCCACAGACCTCACCAGTTTAGTCTTAATGTCAGCCTCTGTCATTAATGTCAGCATCTGTCAACATAGGAGTCCATGGGTTGCTAGCCTGACAGGGGTGGGCTTTGTACAAAAAGTCAACAGGGATCTGGGGTCCCTCTGGGACCCACCTCACCACAGGACCCCAGGAGTTGAGCCCAGCCTCACAGCAAGCCTGGGGTGCACGTGGGATGGAGTTGCGTGACCCACATCTGCTATATTATTAGGTCTGGAGCCGGCAGGCCTCAGCTGTAACACAATTCAAGGAACTGTTGACTCTGTGCTCAGTTTCCAGCCTGGTGGCTGGGAGGGACGTGGGTGGGTGGGGAGGGCCCCCGGGGGGTAGGGCCCCCTGCGTTCCTGCTGCCTGTCGTGAGAGCCAGAGAAGGCTACAGGAGGACTGCACGTCCCTCCAGGGTGCTACTGGTGTCAGTGCAGGCATAGGGCCTCCTGCGAGGGCCCTTGGGTGACCCTGGGTCAGCTGCCTGACCGCTGGCATCCTCCTGTACCTGTTTGCCCAGTCTCAATTTCTGAAGACCTGGCCTCTCCCTCTCCTCCCCCTGCTCTGCCTCCCCTCCCTGCCCCTCTCTGACTGAAGCAGGGAAGGTGATGGGGGTCGGGCTAACCCTGCCTCTTTGGGTAGCTGGGAATGACTGCCCTAGACCCCCAGAATGAGGAAGTTTTCCCTCTTTTCTGTCTTCCTCACAGATTCCTACCTCCTCTTTCTGTTTTGGGTACATGCGGATGCCAGCATACCAGGGATAAGCTAGGGAAAGCCTGCATTTGACCAGGAACCCAAACTGTGGCTCCAGGAAGGACCAGGATTCTTGGCTGGATGCCAGCTCTCCCCCACAGGCAGTGGGTT